CTCTCAGCGATGTTTATGGGTGATATACTCTTACACCCTCGCCTTTGATCAGCTTGCTGTAGACTGCGCTCAGATACTTATTTTCAAAAAAACAAACAAACAGGGCTGCCGGAGCTCGTAGTGATTTTTCCTAATATGGGACATTGGACTTTATCATCGTATTATATTATATAGTCTGGTTCAATGAATTTGAATCGATCTCGTGAGACGCTATGCGTGTAACGCGGTTGTGCTGACTGCCTTGAGTTTGTAAATCATTTCTGGGCACAAAATAAGGGAGTTACTAAATTTTCATATATTTCTGGTATGTCTACCTTTCCACTCTATTTTTTCAATGACTTCCAAACTTCATTACCTTCTTCCTCTTCTTTCACTTTATATATATATATATTCTATTATCTTCAATTTAAAGTTTTATTTTTCTAGAACGTTCTATAGCTTATCATCTATCCAATCCGCAGAATCATGCAGCAGGGCTATTTCGCCGCACAGCAGCCAATGCTTCCGCCTGGGTGGCAGCTCGCCTACACCCCAGACGGAAAGCCTTATTACATCGACCACAATACCAAGACCACCCACTGGACGATGCCTTCTACTGCTTTTGAGTCCTACTACAGCGGGCGCTCCGCCCGTGGAGGCTACCGTGGCGGAAGAGCGGGAATCGACAAGACGAAAATGAAGACTAAAATGTGTATATATTGGGAGAAAAACGGAACGTGTGCCTGGGGAGACCGTTGTGCCTTTGCCCATGGGGCGAGAGATCTTAATAATTCGTCGAATCAACCCACACCTGGTACGTACTGAGTAGGAGCTCTTTTTTTTTAATCTATTATCAATTGTAGCTCTTGCGGTTTCTTGGAATAGATTAGTTAAAAAATCTATTTAGGTGTGTTTCGTATGATTCCTTTTTTTTCGAGAGGAAATGAATTTGTTAATGTTTTACCTTGAATAAATAAGTGATAAATATTTCATGTGATTAAGGGCTTCATTTTGTGAGAGGGCTCATCGAACTGAATAAATGACTAGGAATGATAAACGGCTCTTCAAAAAATAAAACCGTAATGAGATAAGGTTTGCACGCTTGGTTTCTTTATCCAAGTATTACTTTTTGTTTTGTTCATTTAGCAATGCTTAGTAAAAGACCTTTACAAAAATAGAGAGGGACGCCCATGACTTATGCCTCGTTACCTGTCGGATTTGTTTGTTAATATTGACTCTCTTTTATTAAAGAAAACTGGAATGCCTTTCATATCTTTTCAGCTTATTCTGCATCTGCTTTTAAATCGCATAACCTTATCCTCTGCTTCCTCTCGAAATCTCATTTATCTATTTTTCTCTGTGTGGTATATCGCATGACCTATATTGATATTTTTTATTGTCAGAATGTCAATCTTCCACAATATTCATTGCTGATGTACTCATAGTCAGCATTTGTTCCGCTACCTTTCATTCGAGGGGATATATACCAATAAGGTTGAATTACTGCTCTAGTTAATTTATTCTTTACAATGCGAAGCGATTCATTCCTTTAATCACAGAAAGATCTCAGATTTTTTTGAGCTTTGGAAGCTCTGATTTCAGTAAAGGCATCTTTAATCCTTTGGCGAAGCTAGGCTTTTTTAATGAACATCTCTACTGTTTTGGTTGATCTGCATTAGTTGATTTTAGTTTTGCAGTTGATGTAATTTTAGTCACCGCAAATCCAAGGCAATGATATACCAAGGACCTTACTTCGTCTGATTCATTATCCAAATTGTTATTTAATTCATTGGGGGGAAATTAAAACGCAATCATGGCTTTCAATTTGATCTATGATCTATCGTTGATTCACTTTAATTTTTAATATTGCCGCAAAAGTTAATCCTAGTTACATGTTTTTATACCTGTAAGATTTTTTTACTATTTCAAGTGTATAAAAACCGATGCTTCTTTTTATTGCTCTTTTTAAATTTCAAGGGTAGAATTATTGATAATATTTCCCCTCTAGTTTACTTTAAAAATACATATATATATATATATATACATATATATATATATGGTTAGATTAGACTATGTAAATTAGGCCCGAAAACATATTAAGTCGTCATAGCTATCCTTTTAACTACATACGCGTTCATATACACGTGTTTACAGACAAAGTTCTTCCTATCCCCCAAAGTTGGGAAAGGTAGAGAAGATAAATGGAAAAATACGAATTGATCAGTCGAATTGGTGATGGAACTTTCGGCAGTGTAGCGAAGGCAGTTAACAAGAAAACAGGCCAATTAGTAGCCATAAAGAAAATGAAGCAGAAGTTCTATTCATGGGATCAATGTGTGAAATTACCTGAAGTTGAGGTAGTGCGGAAAATTCATAGTCATCCAAATATTGTCAAGCTGTGCGAAGTGATCCGAGAAAACAATGAATTGTTTTTTGTTTTTGAATTTATGGATAGTGATTTGCTCAATATAATCAAGAAGTCCAAGAATCTACAGTGGCAGGAGGAGCCCGATTCCGGTCCGTTGATTCCCTACTGCAAAATACGCAACTACATGCGTCAGATTCTTCAAGGGATTGCGTACATCCACAAGCGGGGCTATTTTCACCGCGACTTGAAGCCGGAGAATCTCCTAGTGCGATCGGTCGAGACGGAGGAGGTGGTGAAGTTGGCGGATTTCGGCCTCGCGAAGGAGATTCGCTCGCGGCCGCCCTTCACGGACTACGTCTCGACGCGCTGGTATCGCGCGCCTGAGCTGCTGCTGCAGGACCGCAACTACGGCCCCCCGGTGGATATCTGGGCCGCGGGGTGTATTATGGCGGAGTTGATCACCACGCGCCCGCTCTTTCCCGGCTCCAACGAGGTGGACCAGCTGTTTAAAATTATGGACGTGTTAGGCTCCCCGACGGAGAAGATGTGGCCGGAAGGGATGGTCCTGGCGAAGAAGATTCGGTACATGTTCCCCTCCATGCAAGGGCGGGGGCTGGTGAAGGTGCTGCCCAAGCACTCCCCGGCGCAGGTGCTGGATTTGATCGCGTCGATGCTGGCCTATGACCCGAAGCATCGCTTTACCGCCGAGCAGTGTTTGCAGCATTTCTACCTCAGCGCCGGCATCGACGGGGAGAGCGGGCCTTCGATGAAGGTCGCGGAGCAGCTCACAAACACCGCGCGGCGGATGCACCTCGGCGTCCAGAGTGCCCCGTCCGCGATGCTGAAGATCGTGAGCCCCGTCAATCATAACCTCATAAAGGAAACCAAGCCGGCCTCGGAGGGCGTGAAGGAGGGCCCGTTCGCCGAGGCCACGCTCGGGGGGTCGCCGCCGAGAAAGCCCTTTTACCGCAATTCGGGCAAAAACGGCCCGCCGCTGTCTCTTCGCGAACGACGCGCGAGTGGGGCCTCCGGCGAGGAGACGAAGACGATCGATGGGAAGCCTCCTCTACCCCAGCTCTCTACTCACCACCCCGCAGGCCCTAAACGCATGTCGAACGACGCCGAGGGGAGGAAGGGGGATTTTTCTCCTCGGAAAGATTATACCACGCAGCCGGCCGGCGTCAAAGGATTACACCTCGCGAACATTCGACACCATGCCCCGACAGAGACGAACGTGGGGAAGGGATCCGACAACTCCCTACTTTTTATGCGCACCAATAAGCCGAATCCAGTGCCCGCATCTGATGCTAAACCGATCGCGAAAATCACACCCCGGAAAGAACCCGTGGGCATCTCATCTAAGATACCGAACGAACCCCTCAAGGAAGCGAAGAAAGATATCAATTTAGACCACCTTTTGGAGGAATTCGCTACGGAGATTTGTAGCCTTGGACTGCAGAAAAAGGATAGTTCACTTAGTTGGGGAGGAAAGCACATGGCATCTTCACCGAGGGAAGACCCTGCCAAATTTCTTTTAAAGAATGCTAGGCATAAGGCGCCATCCAGTGTTTCTAATCTTGATGAAACAACGACTACCCATCAGGAGTTAGGAAACCAAAAGAGCTTCTCACGAAACACTAAAATCGATTCGGATAACGCTTTGAAAAAGGGCAAATCGGAGTTGCTGCATAAAAACCACTCCCCTTCCATTAGAGCTCTCTTGAGCAAGTACAAATCGACGAAATACCCACCATAGAGGGAGTGAGAAACAGTGTTAACTAGCTGTGGAGTAATATATGTACATATATATATATATATATATATATATATATATATATATATATATATATTATTA